ATTTTGTAGTCTTTTGTAGTCTTTTAGTAAATTGTATAGTCTATTAGTAAACTTTAAACTTTGTAAGGTATGTCCAACTTTTGTAGTCTTTTGTAGTCTATCAGTGGTCCTTATAGTCTATGTCAGACTTTTTGTAGCCTTTTGCAGGCTATCCATGTCAATTTCCCTTTTGAGGTGTGCACCTTCCTTTTTGGCACAATTTTCCCACAATATGATAATTGTAGCCTCTTCTCTTGGATTTCTAAATGTGTTAAAATCATCTTGTTTGGTTTTGTTTTCATGGAGAAAAATGCAAAAAAAAAAAAAAAAAAAAAAAAGCTGGCGATGAGAAAAATATTTTACCTCATATCTCTACAATGAAAGCACTTTACAACATAATTTAAACAGATTCAGGAAGCTACAGTGCAGGACTACAATTTTTGTTCTTAACCATTTTAGGCAACTGGTCATGTGACCATTCTCCTGATGACCCACCTGACAGCAGCCAATGAAAAGGGCTGGCCTGCAATGAAAAGTATCCAATGAAATATCCTGGTCTGCAATGAAAAGCTACCAATGAAAATACCAGCAGCAATGAAAAGAGCTGGCCTGCAATGAAAAGTATCCAATGAAATATCCTGGCCTGCAATGAAAAGCAGTCAATGAAAAGAGCTGGCCTGCAATGAAGAGTATCCAATGAAATATCCTGGCCTGCAATGAAAAGCTACCAATGAAAATACCAGCAGCAATGAAAAGCAGTCAATGAAAAGAGCTGGCCTGCAATGAAAAGTATCCAATGAAATATCCTGGCCTGCAATGAAAAGCTATCAATGAAAATACCAGCAGCAATGAAAAGTGGTCAATGAGAAAGGCTGGCCTGCAATGAAAAGTAGCCAATGAAAATCCTAGAGAGCAATGAAAAGCTACCAATGAAATATCCTGGCCTGCAATGAAAAGCACCCAATGAAAATGCCAGCAGCAATGAAAAGTGGATAATGAAAAGGGCTGGCCAGCAATGAAAAGTGGTCAATGAAAATGGCTGGACTGCAATGAAAAGCAGTTAATGATAAGTTGTGACCTGCAATGAAAAGTTATTGAAATGCACAAGGCCTCTTATGAAAAAAATCCTTATCATAAAAGGGCCTGGGATATATATGATATACTTTTCATAAAAGTATGTGGAGCTATGCACAAGGCCTTCCTGGCCTAGGCCATGGTTTTATGATAAAATATGGTAAGGACCAGTGCCGGCTTGAACTTCCGTCTGTGCCTGCTATCGCCTCAACCCAACTCAAAGGACGACCATCCCTTTTTCGCGACGGACCATAGTCAGGATACCCGTTGAGGTTGAATTTTTGATTCTGGACTGGGGCGTAGAAAGACCTATGAATCTCTCTGATTTCCATGCTACTCCTGATGCCTTCTCCGTTGACGCGCGATCCTAGGGCTCCAGGCGACCAGACAATTGACGCTTCGTCGGTTAGCGCTTCCCATCTTCGAAAAATGACAGATGTTCTGTCCCCTCTCTGGACGATGTGAGAACCGAAGTGATTCGCGAAGTCGAGAGCGATGGCCATGTCAATTGGTCTGTACATCCATCCTTGGAAGTCGACAACGGCATAGAACCAATCATCGTCGAACCGTAGGCCTTCAGCTTGTCTGCCGTCGAACACTCGTTCCTGGAAGAATTCATCATAGTCCTTCATTCTCTCGAATTTCCAGGTGAACTCTGGCATGTCCGCAGCGAAGACCTTGCCGTTGGCGGACGTCTCTCGTTTAGACTGAAAGGCGCGCAGGATTGAGGGCGATAGGGCGAGGAAACGATTGTCAGACTCTAGCGCTTCCGTCCAGTGATAGTAGATGGGAACCCTGTGATAGAGAAGGTGCGGAATGTTGATTTGCCGCCAGTCCCTTTCCAATTCCACAAGTACCCCTCTCTTCTCATGTCTGTCGAGCTGTAGGTCTGCGATAGTGTCGATTACGTCCTGTGGCACGTAGATGTCCCATTCCGTTACTGATGCCGTCCACCAGGTCAAAAACGCTAAGTAGTCGAGCGCTTGACGTTTGACGTTGGCCCCGAAAGCTTCTAAAGTTTGAAGGCTGTCGAAAGGGCCCTGAAGCTTGTCGTAATCGTACCTTCCTGGCCTTGTGCCAGTACTTTATTGTGCCCTACCTATTCCTGTCGGACTCCGGTCATTCCTGCGGATTCCGGTGGAATGGGACCGGACTCCGGCGGAATCCGCAGGAATGGGACTGGAATCCAGTGGAATCCAGCGGAGTCCTGCGGAATCCAGCGGAATCCAGTGGATTCCAGTTGAATAAGACCACAATCCACCATAAATAGCAGTACTTTACCCTCTCCCACATGCTCTGATCAGAGTATCTACAATCAGAATGGATCAGCACTGATCTAGAGGTCAGGTGACTTAATCTGCATTGATTCAACTCAATACTCAGAATTTCTTATAAAATTCACTTCTAGTCAAGTCATTCATCTCAATAAATCAAATTTTAATGTGTTTTATTAATGACATGAGTCTATTTTACTACATACAGTGCATATTAAAGAAGGGGATGGATAAGGGGCAGGGACAAGGAAATGGGGAGGGACAGGGAAGGGGGCAGGGAAAAGGAAGGGGGCAGAGACAATGAAATGGGGGACGGAGGTAGGGACCCGGAAATGGGGAGGGACAGACAGGAAAGGGGGGAGGGACCCGGGGGTACATGGAAATGGGGGAGGGCCCGGGAAGGGGGGATGGGGAGTCCATGGAAATGGGGAGGGGCCGGGAAAGAGGGGGCAGGAAAGGAAGGGGAGGGACAGGGAAGGGGGAGGGACAAAGGCACTGTTCGTCGTCGTGTGATGTCGTGGTGGCTGTTAGCGAGATGGGATAGGATGAAGGAGAGTCAGGGGACTCACCTTTGTGTGAACGACGAACGACGACGTC